GAGAGTCGTAGGGTAGGGTAGGGTCAGGGTAAGAGAGTCGTAGGGTAAGGGTAAGTTTTTTTTAACTAGATATATCACTATAGAACGACATCTTTCTCTTGCATATATTAATTTTCTTTAAAATAAAAACACACAAATATACTAGATAAAAGAAAAAAAAATCAAAAGACAGATCTCAATATAATTGCCTGTTTATATACTTTCTCGCACAAAATTCCTTTATTCATTATTTATAATACTAAATGTTTTTTGAAAAATTAAATATTTTTGCCTGTATGAATATGTCTACAAAATCTCCTCACGCTCACATTAAACAAAAAAAGAAGTAATTCATCAACTCAAAGAAGGAACTTTAACTACAACAAAAGAGCGAAAGAGTTTTTGGTGCTAGTAGTCGAATATTAGAAGAAAGAAGACAAAATTTAAACGAAGATGCTGTGAACGGTATTTTGTTATTAAGAAATTTCAGAAAATGTATTGAATAGTCAAAAGTTATTATTAGTTGAAAATAAAATGAAAAAAGTTATTTACCATACGTACTCATTCTTTGATTAAAAAATTTCAATTAGTAGGGTAGGGTAATGATTTAAATAGCATAGGGTAGGGTAGGGTCAGGGTACGATTAATGGTGGAGATAGTAGGGTAGGGTAGGGTCAGGGTAAGAAAAATGCTTACCCTGCACATCTCTATTTTACATATAATCAAAAAGTAAATTTATAAAAATAAAAAGTTGCGATGACAAATGATATATTATTATACTATGTATTCATTTTCTATATAAACATCTTTAGGTAATTAAGATTTCTTTGTTGCTGGATATATCTAACTCACAATGCGCGAAATGGAAAATGTAATCAAAATAATTGAAAAATATTAAAAACGATCAGATAAACGACGTAATTAGTGATAGAAAACATGTCCTTTCAGTTAGTTTCAACTAAGTAATGACTAGTATTAAAATTAAACTTTACGATCTCAAAGAAAAAAAATGATATACCGAGTAAATCTTCATAAATACCGAATTTTTATTAAATTGAAATAAATAATATTATTTATTTAAATATATCTCGAGAGATTTAAAAATGTATTGAAAAATAAACATATTCATAACTTCAAATTAATTCACAATTATTTCAATATTTTGCAATAAAAAAATTAATTGAAAATTAACCTTTTTAAAACTTAAATGACATCGAGATAATCTACAATGAATAGAAGGAATTCTAATGAATTGATTCAATAAACAACAGTTGTCTTCTTGCAAAGTCAAAATATTTCTATAAAATAAAATATACATACGATATTATTTTCTATGTTATATCAACACATCTTGTTTTATAAAGTGACTAAATTTTCTCTTTTTTCAAAAAAAATAGTTCATAAGAGGAAAATGTCAATCCTTTTGTTAGTTTCTCTGGATATTTTTCCTTGAAAAGAATTAATTTTTTCTTCTTCCAGAGAGGTGCTATTGTTAAGTAATTAGTAATAACACTAAAACAATTCTATATTTTTTTTATTTCCTTGGAAACAAGTTTTTTTCTCGAATGAAAAGAAAAACAAACTTTTTTGAAAAACTATATGTTAATATTTGATTTCTTTTATATCTGATCTTTGTTGACAAAACACTTTTTAATTCAATAAAAATCTATTCTGTTTATTTGGATTAGGAATATTTTCTGAAAATAACTGTAGATTTATTTATTTTCAATATATAGATTAATGTATTTCTATGAACTAACTACAAAGTTATGTAAAGTAATAATTTTTATTTCATCTGAGTATATTTTCTTTTACTCTTTAACAAATCAAAAGTTTTAGCTCTTTTCAAAACTGAATAAGAATTTTTTACACATCGCTAGAATTGCCTTGAAATAATGTTTTCTTCTTGGTTCTCAATGTTTCTGTGGGAATGCTTTGTGGTTGTTCTGATTTTTGTAATTCTCTTTTTCGTAGAGAAGAGTCTAGCAGAAATAAGTTGTTTGCTTGATTGCTTGTATGTCCGCACTTCACTGATTGGTCCAAGACTTAGTTGAAGATATAACAGAAATTTTTTTATAAGGGTTGACAGAAGGGTAATCGAGATCGAGGAACTCGAATCTGACGTTAGTTTGTTTTGGATTTCTGAGAATCATTTTGTAGGCAAAGAGCAGTCTTTTACAGAAAGTCATTAGCTCTATTAGAAATACCATGCCTACGAAAGAGAGTTGAATGAGTCTCCGTGCGAGCGTTACTTATTCTTAAAGTCAGTCATTTTACATCTGAAAGCTGTTCAAGGAAATCATGCAAT